GTCTGCGTAAAAACACGTCAGTTATATAATCCTATACTTTTGTTAATAACTCTCCAAATCCTACCCTGGTCTAACGTTCAGATAATCGTGGTTATTGAGAGTTGAAGGTCCGCTAAGTGCTGTTTAAGCGGCGTCTCGAGGTCCACTAACTGCTGGTTTTGAATATAAACTAATGTAATTAATTCGGTTAAGTCGTGAGGGAAAAGTTGTGCCTTCACTAACGGCAAGGAGCTTAACATTATTTTGACCTTAAACATTCTCTTCATTTACTTTGACATATAGCCTACCTTTTTCCTTGATAAATTGTTATATCAAGGAAATAGTGTAATGGTGACTCTTTCTATCTATAGAAATTGTGAACGTAGTCTAAAAATCAATGGATCTAAAACATGGTTTAATTAAAACTATTATCCGATCAAAATATGTCAACACGTCTCTACTTGACGTTTCCTCATCTGTCATTGTCAATTAGCTTTAGGCGGCCAATGGTTTAAACTAGGTACTGACTTTGGTCCTCGTTTTGTAATATGACGGTTAGGGTTTAGCGTATGCCCCAACAATGAGGACATTAATAGAACCATAACACTGAAACATTTTCAAGGTACACAAACAAAATTAATATTCATAACAATTGATCCAGACACAAGTGTGTTCTCATAGAAGTGATAAAGATAAATGATTATTTCGACCTTCAGTTAATAAAGTGTTGAGTGACAGAGTAATTATGTCACTGAATTGATTAATATTATTTATTTATGTAAAATAGTTACAGTCGACGTCATATCACTACAAATGGCCAAACCCAATGATGTATTAAAAGTTTAGATGGATTATCTGCGCACAACATTGACAAAAAGAAAGCAAGGCAATCGCTTGAGTTTAACTCTAATCACGTTTCAGCAAGCGCTGTGGTTAATGTCATTTTCACTAGTAATTTTCAGTGAAAAGCTGTAGAAAAAATGCCTTCCTGCTTGTTTATAAAATGCACAAATTCACATTTACAATGAGAAATGCGAAAAAATATAATTTCATCTGTTAATAAAAATAATTAAACATTGAACGCGGCCATTTTTTCGACAATTTTCCTCTTTGGTGTATCGCGTTCTATTAGGGGAGATTAGAGTTGACACGTAAAGCTAAGCAGGTATATTTATCTCGTTCTAACAAGAGGTATTCTATATGATTCAAGTAGGGAAATAACTATGTATTTTATATTTCTACGCGCCCTTTGTGGTTGTATTATAATGTAACGTAACCACAATAAAGTTGACCCCTTTTTAAAACGTAATAATGTACGGGTATGACATGTCTAATAATAAAACGTTATCTGAGCAAACCCCAGTCGATTTCAAGACTGTTGTCTGTTAATCTGTTGAGTTCAAAATTGATTATAAAAATTTGTAGTACCTTAATAACTTCGAGAGCTAATATTTGTACTTTTCTCATGTGATATGAAGTATCTAAAGTCCTTGTGCTATATAAATCGGAAAGAACGAACCCGTTCCCCAGGTTAGTTGTAAAAAAAACTAAATTTTCAATTTCAATTATTGGTTGCTCTAAAAATCCTTTGTTTTCGTGGTACTCCGTACTTCGGAAGGCACGTTAGGCTATTGGTCTCGGCTGCATTTACAGTCGTTACCGCCCACCAATCCGCACTGGACCAGCGTGGTGGGTCACGGCCTGTTCTCTCTATTCGATTTAGTTTCATTCTATCCATTGGGAAGGCCTGAGCCCCAGAAGTAGGTGATATGAAGTATGGTACAAAGGATACTCCAAAGGATACTCCATAAATAGGCTTTAGCTATTTATCTTAGTTCATTTTCGTATGCTTTATATCCACGAACTTTTAGTTCAGTGAGCTTTTATTGCTCAGTTACACTGATCGACGGGGACACAAAGCGCAGGCAATCTCTAGGGACACACTAGTCACACATTAGTCATTAAAAATGAAGAACCAAGTAAAAGTGAACCACAGAAATGTCCCGCAATTTACATGCCGACTTCATCGACCAATATATATGAGCCATTATAACAATAAATTATGTCCCTAATAAAATTAATTCTTATAATAATAAACATGATATGAATCAATTGAGTAAATGCTGAACTTATATGACGATAACAGCGCCATTATAATATCTATGCTATGTTCTTTCAATGATGTCTTTATTAAGAGAACGAACAAACGATTCCATTGAAGAGTTGTCAATCAATTCCATCGATATGCAAATCAGAACTATAAACCTATAACCCAACATCCTTCACGATATTCATGATTTACATCGCTGGTTATTAAGGACAATTAACATAATGTTTCCTAATATAGCAACGATGTATACTCAGTATATCGAAACGGTGGTTCTGCCTTTGCATTTGTGACAATTCAATAGACATCGATGCTTGTAGCCAATAAAATGATGACTCCACTTGAATAATACGCATAAATTGTAGGCATTACAAGACAAGCTATAGGTAGTTTAACTTCGTCAGATTCTTTTGACTGATTTTTGTTCCAGTTTACATAATTTTGTGAAAAACTTTAATTGGGTACATAAAAATCTCTTCTCTAATCACTCCATGTCCGTTGACGTGGCAGGGAAAATTTTATATGATATTCATAAGAGTTTCATCATCAATTAAACTCATAAGTCACAGAAAACAAAAATGAAACCCGGTCTTTCTTGACTATGAATCTAAGTCAACAAGGAGCCACGCAGTTTGTGAGAATCACTCCGAAAAAATGAACACTCACGGAATGCATCCATAATGAAAAGATAAAATAGAGGCCTTGATAAAAACGCTACTAGATCCAGAATAAAATTTCTCATCTTTGACTGGGTGATGACTGATAACCAATATTTCGCCCATTCCTTGGAGATTTAAATTCCCGAACTTTGACCCATTTCTAACTGCTACTACAAGTACATCATTATGTATATGTTATCGTGTTTGTTTTTTTCTTTTTTTGTAATTTTAAAATTTGTCGATGTAATTAGATATTTGACTTGTTTTGATAAATCGTGTACTAGTGCGAAAAACGCTCTATTTGGCATACGCCTTCATTACCCCGCGTATGACATAAATAAGTAAACTAACCTTAATCCATATTTACTAACGTGTGACGTCATCGGAGTTGTAACAATTTACAAGGAGTTTTCGTTTCAGATAAAATGACAAAAATATTTAAATTTTATTTTGTGTAATCGGTAAAAATATGTATATTTTTTTTAAATAAAATGAAATTTGTGTTATTACGCTATTACCTTATAGGATGACCACAGTTTTTAATATATATAAATGTTAATAAATACCCTTATATATGTAGCATTATCTATCTATCTAAATAATGTCTAGAAATCAAAAGACGTTCGGGAAGCAGTAGCCAAGTCGACGCGATTACAAGAGTGTCCCGTCGCCTTGACTTGACTGAAACCCGGGATTTCAGTTTCCATTATTCGTAACATGACGAAATCGAAAACATTTTGTTTACACCCAACTATCTCTTTTCTCGGGTATTCCTACAAAAATATCTCACTCTCCTTTGTTATTATTCTAAGTCACTCTCAACCGGGAAAAAAGACAATCATGCAGGTGAGGGTTATGTGTCTAGTCAGCTGATGCCGGGTGTATTGACACCCGTAAAATACGCTTCGCGTCCTTCAGGTGTCTCCTGTAGCCGTGTACTTTCGCAAGCTAGTTGTTTCAATACGTTAGAGAGCTAAAAAAGCCTGGGAGTTATCTTAGACAAAAAATAGTGCCCTGGCAGCTCAGCTTAGATGAAGGTAAACTATGCCGTTGTCTTATCTGCGGCTTCATGTGTCTTAGTCCCCAGTTAAGACTAGGGTAGTCTAGCTAGTGATGGCAGCATTGAATACAGGGCTATCTCTGTACAGGTGTAAGTATTGTAGATTAAATCAAATAAGAAATACATATGCATTTTAATGCAGTTTTCATCAATATACAGAGTGATTGTATGTATAATACAGGACCACGTGGGCGTAGCCGCTGGCGGAAAGCCGGCATTAAATATATATACCTAAACATTGATCATATCATTTTTGTTTCAATATTTCATTAAAATACAAGCCTTTTTACATGCGAAAGTAAAACTACTTAATCCAAAATAAATATACAGATAACAGTGGCAAGGTACTGATAAAAATCTTTACAACATAATAAAACTCTATAGTAAAATCTTAATATAATATACATGTACAATCGGCTTTAAATTGTGAAAGTCATTTTTTATATTAGATAAATCACCCTGAGAGGGGGTGAGTATTTTGGCGGGGGGATAATACCTTACGCATTTCCTCGACGAAAAATGTACTTTAAAAAAGTAATTTTCTTCAGCTAATGTTATATTTCTCAATGTTAGAATTCATTACTAATTCATGGTGTTTAAAATCTTGTTAATACGTTTTAATTTTCAAACATTCACCTAAACTAGTTCATTTAGATAAGATGCAAACGCAATACAACGAACAGTTAAGTTACTTTTGCATATATAATAAACAATTTATATTATTAAATGGAAGAACGAGGTGCTCGTTGATGCACTGGATAGCGCGCTTTGTCAGCGTTCCTTTTTAAACCAGGCCTATCCGACCACGCACCCGCCCTGAAAAAGACAGGCTAATGCGAGACCGGCCTACCTGATAAAACCCAGTGCCAGTACCCTCTTGAAAAGAAAGGAGGCCCGATCTTTTTATGGATTTTGATTTTTAAATTGTGGTACATTATTTTTGCAATTATGTAAATATACAATACATTTTATATTCATATACCAAATCACACTTCGTTAGTAGGATAGGGTATCACTCTAAATAAATTTACAATAAAATAACGCCTATAGATTTTCAGCTCAGAAACGTCATTTTCACTTAGCCAAATGAACCGTGTCGAAAACGAAAACGAATTTAACCTCTTATTGTCTTTGTTTTAATCAGTCACATTTTTATGCGACCGACTGTACCCCAAGGTCGCTACGGTTCATAATTGATACGAAGACTGTATCTCTTTAGAGATACTCGTTTGTAGTGTAGTGTGATACAAATATGGAAATGTGCAACACACACGTGAGTGCTGGCCTTTTTATTTGAAGTGAAAAAAAAATATATATTTAAAACAAGTTGTTATTAAAACTTTTTCAATTATTCTATGTCGTGAAACTTAATGGAAATTTGTAAAAACAATTTAGTCTGTTCTTTTCTTTCAAAAATCTCCTAAGGCGTAGAAGTAAATAAATAGACACGCGAGTTCTTTGACCTTTAATGAACTTTTATATAAAAAAAAAATTACATTTTATATAAAAAGCGTATCACAAATAGAAAAATGATTCTGGATAAAAAAAGTTAACTTATTAAATTATAATTATTAACAGCTTAAAAGAAGGACTTATCAAATAATATCTCTCAAATTGAAAAAAGAACGATTTCGTCTCATTTCTATAGTTGCAAACTGGCTCAAGGTACTGTGAAATACTCTTTGTCTTTGTCACTCTATAGGTAAATACCTAAATCCATAGATTTATCTCTTTAAGAGTGTCAAAACTTTATTGATCTCTCGTTTCGTTCTTTTTTTGAATTTATTTTTTCTACAGTGTATATAATAGTTATTTAAGATACGAGTGCGGAAAGTAAGGTTTTGCGAATAAGGGCCAAATTGAAAACACGAGCGAAGCGAGGGTTTTCATTGGCACGAATTCGAAAAACCTTTTACGCTCAAGTTTCTTACAACATTTTTCAATGCTTTTTGCGAGGAAATAAAACAAATATATAGGTTAATAAAACTAAGTATGTATCAAAGGTAAAAATTATTTGTTAAAATTTAACGTGATATTTGAACATGTTTTCGTGTCATACATTTTTATTTGAAAATATTCGTTCTAGGCTCCTTGAAATACTTTTGCCTCTAAAGTTTGACATATTTTCATCAATCTTTTTTAAATTTCTTTGGTGCTCGGCAAAAAAAAAATAAAAAATACTTTTAAGCACGTGTGCAGTAAAGGATTTCAGTACCTACATTTTTATTTAACACGTTTTAGGGTATTGTGTAATAATATCACGTGTAAAAAGATATTATTACACAATACCCTATGATTTGAAATTTAGTACATATCAGAATAAGCTGATTACTTAAATAGATATATAAGGTTTAATAACTATATCATTGCCTGTTGTATCTTCTGCTTTAGGTTATTTATATAAACCTAATTCAAGCACAGATGCCACCCAATTATAGGTATATATAAGTATCTACATGGATTTCATCATCATTCCTTTTAAGTCCCCAATGCAGAGGCTCAGGCCTTCCTTATAGATGATTAAGGATGACCCTCCACGCAGGCTCAATGCGGATTGGAGGGTATTAACGACTGCAAATGCAGCCGTGATCAACGGCTTAACGTGCATTTCGAAGCACGAAGTAGCTCGAGATATTCATATTTTGGTTATCCATCCCATTTTCGACCCTTGCGGAAGTTGCTTAACAATGACGATCGCGGGCCGCTGCGCTAATCCTTAGTGGAGCCACCGAGCTGCACGGCTTTATTATTTAAAAATGATTTTGTTTGTTTTTTTTCTTTCATTTAACCATGTCTTTTATGTCTTTATTTTATAATATTGCAATGGAAATGGACGTTATTTTTCTTTGTCATAAAAACAACATCATTAGTATACTGTATATTATTAGTAGCTTATTACAACTTCAAATAAGTTACATATAAATATTTATTATTTAAGGCCGCCACTTGCTATTTTATAGGCAAAAAATAAACATTATTCTTATGCTATAGTTGGCTAGTATCATGTTTTAGACCTAGAGTCTACATTTTGTCGAGCCTTTTCCTTATGCAATAAAATTAACGATATAAAAAATTTATTCAAGCTTCGCCATTTATTCTTTCGTCAATCAATACTGTTAAAGTGCTATTTTCTGTGAACATATAAAATTGGGAGGTAAAAGCAAACGATGATTAAGTATTGTATATAACGATAAAATGAAATTAGAAATGTAAAACTACAGGATTTAAAATAAACAAAATGACGAATGTGTTACCTTAGTTCGTAACATTGAATAAAAAAGTCACGAAGATACATCCGATAAAAATTACAATTACAAAAACCTATTCCAAATAATGAAGATTGCCTACAATATTTATAATAATAATCTACAGTAATAAAGCTGAAGATTTTGTTTGTTTGGGCATTTGGGCAAGAACATCATAGAAACCATGTTAAACTCCCATTTACGCTTGCCCGGTTTTATTTGATAATATATTTAAAATCGAAAATGATTCATTGGACGACAAAATAATATATGGTTAGTTAACGAGATATTTTAATACTTAACCAAGGGGCGTTAAAATATGTTACGATAAATGTACAAAATCACCGATAATTACAGATGACTTAGATTCAAAAAATAGCAAATATATTCAAAGTATCAGAGTTAAATAATAAATAGGATGGCAAAAATAATGAGGCGGGCCAAACTATATTAGTTGGATAGCTACAAATTGAAGAGATTACAAAATATTCGTTGGCAATCTAGACCAAAGCAAATGACGGCGTATTATTAAAAGACTTCAATAAAAGAACTAATATACAAAGAAATCATTTGTGTGTATTTTTGCAAGACGTGTTGATTCTACTGCGTACTAAAATGGAAAGAAGAGCAAATGCGTGTTATCCACAGAAACACCGGTAGATTTTTCTTATTTGGTTCCATCTATTGGGCAGGCCTATACCCTAACAGTAAGGATGCTGATAAGCTAATTAATGATCATGATCAAAGGTGGACGCTTCCTGGCAGATTTTTGATTTATATTAGCTTAAGACTCCAGTATATCAGGCCAGTGTGCACACAGTACGCCCGTGAAGTCGGGGGGTACAGCTAGTAAACAATGTTAGTACATATTTTCATTGCTAAGCAGATTAGTATGAGCTGTGCGCCCTTTAATTAATATAACTAAATTCTGTATGCAATGATACGCTTCACAACCACAAATTCTTTTTAGGGTTATGTACCCAAAAGCTAAAAACGGGAACTGTCTGTATGTCACCAGGCTATATCTCATAAACCATTAAAGTTAGACAGTTGAAATTTTCGCAGATGATTTATTTCTGTTGCCGCTATAATAAAAATAATAAATATCGATTTAAAACATAAATATTGAAGGGGGCTCTCATACAACAAACGTGATTTTTGCTCGTCTTCTTTTATTCCTCGGAGAAATGCTTTAAGCACTATCTCTGGGGCTGGCATTCCCACCAAAACCCCTCAGGCTTAATAAATACATTCCATATTTATTAAACCTGAGAGGTTTTGGAGTAAGCACAGGCTTGTAAGCTTTGATTATAGGGATAAATTATATAAACAAAGGATGTATCTTCTCTGTGGGATGGGACCTCTGGCAAGATTTGTGACGTTAAAAATTCTACTTAATTAAATGGAATTTTTAACTATTTGAACTATTATTTCATACCTTATAGAAATTTCTATAAGATATGAAATAATAGTTGATAATGTTTCTTAAATCCATAATTTGCCAGAGCCTATTTGTAAAATTAAAAAATATCCGTTTTTAATAATTATATTTTTGTTATTTTTCAGACCGATTCTCAAGGTCAGGATCCTAACTCAAAACCTCCACCGCAACCACCGCCAGTAAATGGTACTGCCAAAGTTTCTAAATATGTACTACACTCGGACAAAGAGCCGTATGATTATGTTACCCAAAGATGCACAGCAAAACCAACCAAGTAAGTATTTTCAATTCATAGTTAATTTTGCAAAATTTCTAGATATACTTCGATAAAGAAATGCGTATTATTTCAGTTTTAAAATCAAGTATAATCAATAGGATTCTGTAACTTGCAATTTGACGAACTTGACCTGTATTTATATTGATAAGGATTGTTAGAAACCATAGTTAATATCGGCAAGCGCACATTGATTTAAATTATTGATATAGAGTTACTGTTAAATAATAGAATTAGTACTCAAAACAGGTTTTAGAATAATTTATCGGAGTTAACATAGATTTTTCCTACTCATGAGGTCATTCGGGAAATGCCCAGGCGTGGTTTCGCTTATTCCGCGCTCTCACACGACCTTCAGCAAAGATGTAGCGGAAGGAAACCCACATATATTCCAAGTTTTGTGCCCAAGGTCTTAGAGTTTTTAAAGACCTTATTAATAAATTAAAAGATAGTAAAATTAGACTCTACAGTCAATTTGAATATACAAAGCAGCAGCTTTATCATGCTAGAAAAGCCATTTTCAATAAGAGTTGTTTTGATCTTGAATACTTGGAACAGCAGAAAAATTAGAAGTTATATGTCCTTTTATTCTGATTAAAAGAACATTAATTCTATAAATAAGAATTATTATTATAATATATACCACATTTTTTCAATTATTTTTCAAGAAGACATAAAGTTTATGAGTTCCATACTAACGAAATGCGCATGATTCGATGGTCAGCGGGTGTCACACTCCTTGTTAGAATCCGGAACGAGTAGAGGTAGTTTCAGAGTCGCTACAATAATCGATCAAGTCAAAGAAAAACTCCTTAAATGACACGGTCATGTTTAGAGACGTGAACAATACCGCGCGGTAAGACTGGCTTTGAACCTGGCCGTGGCCCAGGCACATGCCCGTCTTAGAGCTCTTTGGCTTGGCTAACGACTATTGAGAAAGACCTCAGAGAGGCAAATCTTGGTACAGACGCAGCACAAAACAGTGCCCAGTGAAGAATGCGGACGAGTAAATGGGACTATCGGACTAGGGGATAGAAGAAATAGTTTACGAGTTCAACTAATTTATTCAAAACTTTCATTTAAAAATCTTTTCATTTTCCCTTCATTATTTGATTATAAATAGTCATTGCTCAAATCTTAGTTTGAACAACGCAAACATTGTTGAATGCTGATAAATAGGTTCATGTTCGAAAGACTTCATGCAAAACAAAACTGTAATGTCTTCCTGACAAGATAAATATTAGCGTAACCTGTGTTATGTCTTAATAATTTTACGATATTAAAATAACCTTCATAGCTATTACAGACAGTGGTTCAGTGATACGAAAAGTATATATTATTGGTAACAGTGAGACAATGGAGTTTCAACATAGCTTTTTTCATTGTCAATCTTAACTGAATTTCATCGAATATCAACGGCTAAGATGTAGAAAACGCGATGGCATACTGTAAAAAAAATACAACTGAGGATTATTTAATTAATTGTTTATTCTAATGCCAATATTTAAACGTGACTTAAATGTTACTTTCTTCAATCTTCTATAGTAAATTGTTTCCACGTGTACAAATCACCAAAGCACATCATTTGATTTTATAGTCTGGAACATTATACAAGTCAAATCAGTAAACTTTAAACTTGTGCTAGACTAAAAAATCCAATTATCAGTTGGAAAAATTAATAGAAATATTTGTTTCGGAAATATCATACATAAGTAAAATTATATCAGAAATATTAAAAATTACATTTATGGAAATGTTCTTGCGTACAGTAAGATAACAATAAGATTCGTTTACAAAAAAGAACTACTAAATGCGAGTCCGACACGCGCACAATGGGTTCCGTACCGAAAACGAACAAAAAAAATCACGTTTGTTGTATGGGAGACCTTAAATATTCACTTTATTCTATTTTTAGTATTTTTTATTGTAGCTGCAACAGAAATACATCATCTATAAAAATCACAACTGGCTAACTATCACGGTACATGAAATACAGCCTGGTGACATCAAAAAAAAATCACATCTGTTATATGGGAGCTCCCTTTAAATATATTGTAGGCTAGTTTTTAGCATTTGTTATTGAAGCGGCAACAGAAATACATAATCTTTGAAAATTGCAACTGTCTGACTTTCACGGTTCATCAGATGCAGCCTGGTGACAGACAGACAGCGAAGTCTTAGAATAGGGTCCCCGTTTTATCTGTTGGAACCCAAAAAAGTAGTGTTCATAATTCTAACAAAAAATAAATAAAAATAAGCTCGCCGTTCCAAGCTTCAGGCTTTATAAAACGTGTCATATCTTAGTATTTTGCGTTGTTACGTCCAATATAGTTCCATGAAATGTATAGGACCTACCTCTATATAAATCTAAAAAACATGTAAAGAACATACTTATGAGTAAATAAAGTTGATGATAATTTTAAGGACCGTAATGCTTAGAAATAATCACATTAATAGCCTTTGCTTTGTTCTATAGACTAATTATATATGTCTATGCTATTGTCCTACAAATATCGATAATTGTATTTTATTATGTGATACGTATTATTAAGGTATTTATTTATTTTAATGCATTCCACAGTTTCTCTTGTTTCTCGATAATTCAAATATCACAATCGCAATATCTATGAAAGGATTTATGATAGAATTTCATATTATAAAATCAGCCCACAATACCACATAATACGACCGCCTGGTTTCGCGGCAAACTTAACCAAGATATAACGACCTCCGTAGCCGAGTGGTTCGCACGCCGGTTTCAAGGTGTCGCCATCTCTGAGGTCCCGGGTTCGATTCCCGGTCGGGTCAATGTAGAAAATGAACTTTTCTGTATTGACTCGGGTCTGGGTGTTGTGGTACCTTCGTTGTCTCAGATACTCCATAATACGGGGGTTTTAGCTACTCATCTTGGAATCTGAGCAATGTATGTGATATTGTTAAATATTTATTTATATACTAGCTGACCCGACAGACTTCGTCCTGTCAAAAAGATTTGTAATGTGGCAGTTTTTTTGCCTACGTATTTAAAAAAATTCTCCTGAACAGAACCGTCACCCTGGTGATAGGGCGTTGTGAATAAAAAATAATTAAATAAAACATATATAAGGATTTAAAAGTAAGTAATCGCTTTATTGTTAATCATGTGAATCATAATTATTATTATTATCATTGTAGTGCTTTGTGGTATACGATGTTTTTTGTTTGATTACCTGGCGCATAGATAAACAAATCTGATGGTTTTCCAACACGGGAACAGGCAACATACAATTGACCATGTGAGAAACATGTGTGATATTGTTGGATATGTGTCAAAAAGTGTATAGAATCTGTTCCTATTCCTGAAACCAATGAGTACAATGGTTCTGGTGGTGGATCCAATGGTATCAATTTCACTTTACCATTTGCGCAACACAATCCATTGGCTTCGTTTTTGTATTTTAATGCCTTACAGTGTGAGCAAACCGAGTTCATAGAACCAATAACAACACATTGGTAGTTACTGTAGTCAATTGACACATCGTAACTGAAAGCAGCTCGATTCAAACTTGCGCGATTATTAGTTGAATGTCGCGCTCGCGCTTCACGCGTTTGTGATATCCGAATTCTTTCACGTTCATTTCCGTCGTCACGTTCTTGTGCAGTACGATTAGATCGGTAATTAGCTTGGTTTGTAACATTTCTGGTTCTTCTACCTAAATTGCTTCGTCTTATAGGAGGCATATCAAATATAAATTATTTTTTCACTAATCACGAACTAAACAAACACTAACTAAGTAAACACTCTGCACAAAACACGATATACGAATTTGTTTCGTGTATCAGTTGACAAAAGCAAACTCAGTAGATTAGGTCACAGACAACTTTTTTTTTTTTAAATTTGATATGACTTGATGTCAAATCCTTTTAAGCCGTACGAATTGTTTTATTGATTTAAAATTTGGATATTAAAAATAATAAAACACTGTTGGTAACGCGATTTTTGTTTGACTGATGTAATGACGTGGAAACTGATGCATTTTATCTCGCGTGCCGAAACTAATACAAAAGAAACGCGAGTTTCGGAACGCGACATTAAACTCCTCCAACTATGTATTCTGTGCTCCAACGCACACACGCACATTGTTTTGATAGATACGATCTTTGACGTTAGGAACACACCTACATTGCTTAGACAACAGTGAGTGCTTGTAATTTAATATGAACTTTATACCATAGCAATAAAGCTCAAATTGACTACGTTTTAGTTACAAATCATTTGTATGGGAAAAAGAAAAGGGCTATTTTTAGGGTATTTCCAGCAATAATTCTAATTTTTCTCGCCGTAAAAACCATCCTTGAACTTCAACGAACATTTTAAAAAAAGATTTGGCCAAATTGGTCGAGGCGTTGTTGAGTTATGCGCTTACCAACACATTTTGCGATTCATTTTTATATATATAGATTGCTGGAGATACTTCTCATTTAATAGATCTATGATGTCATGCGCTTTCTTTCTTCGTTCTTCCATGAAATTTTGCATATATAAGTAAAAGAAACCTATTTTTTACAGTTTCCTGGAATCAACGGGACATTTAATAAAAGGATGTCTTGGAGGCGGTATTCTGGGAATACATGAAGCGTTCATGAAAGCCGGATTATGGACGTCGCTTTGTGTCACCATCATCTTCGGCTTCTACATCACTTACTGTGTTCATGTATAAATATAACTGCTAATATTTAACACTCTTATTTCAAATACAGTAGAACTCCAATTATCCGAACTCCGACTATCCGAATCGCCGATTATCCGAATCACAAAAAATTGTCCAAAAAAAGTCTAAGTGCGCTATTATTCTCCCCCCCGCGAAGCCAGTGTTTGCGCGTTAAGTCTTGACTTGACTTGTCTTAACTTGCCGTTGTGCCTACACTGACTTCCCCCCGCGTGTGTAGGCACAACGGCAAGTTAAGACAAGTTCCGGCGCATTGCAGTCACGGCGCACCTGTCATTGTTTGTTTTGATTAGCCAGTGTGCTATTGACCTTGCTCGAGGACGCTACTCTTTCGCTACGGCTTACTTTTGTTTGTGCGTGTACAATACTGTATTGTTTTTATACCATGGCTTCGAAAAGAAAACGTGTTGTGCTATCGTTAGCGGACAAACTGAAAATTATAGAGCAACTCGATAAAGGTGTAACGGGTAAGAAGTTGTCTGAGATTTATGGTGTTGGACAAGCAACAATTTCTGACATTAAAAACAGTAAGTCAACACTTTTAAACTTTGTTTCGGTGCTTGAAAATGAAGATGGAAGTTCCTCCAGGAAAACAATGAAGACAGCAACCACCAAAAATTTGGAAGATGCCGTGTTTAAATGGTTTTTGCAGCTACGTTCTATGGGAAATCCGATTTCAGGTCCAATCCTTTGTGAAAAAGCCAAAATCTTTGTAGAAAAGCTTGGTTATTCATCTTTTAAGGCTAGTAACGGCTGGCTAAGGATTTTTAAATTCAGGCATGGTGTACGCGAGTTAGATTTGGCTGGTGAGAAGCTTTCAGCAGACTCTGCAGCTGCTGAAAATTTTATTAAAAAATTTAAAACTGCATCAGAATCCTATGATCCGGAGTTTGTTTATAATGCCGATGAAACTGGCCTTGTTTGGAAAGCATTACCAAAAACCACTTTGGCTTCTAAAAGGGAATCTAGTGCCCCTGGACATAAGGTCAGTAAAGAACGTGTTACAGTGCTTAACTGTGCCAACTCCACTGGAAATCATAAACTGCCACTTCTTTTGATAGGAAAATCAAGAAATCCAAGAGCATTTAAAAACGTAAAAAAACTTCCACTCTTCTACAAAAGTCAACCCAAGGCCTGGATGACTGCAGCTTTGTTTACCGAATGGTATGATGAAGTGTTTATTCCTGAAGTGAAAAAGCACCAAAAATCGGTGGGAAAAGAAGGCAGTAAGGTGCTTTTAATTGTTGATAACGCATCCACTCATCCTATAGCAGAACTGTTGGAAAGAGAGAATGGGCAGTTCAAAAAGACGTTTTTGCCTCCCAATGTTACAAGTTTGCTGCAACCCATGGACCAGTCTGCTATTGAAACAATGAAGCGCCATTACAGAAGGCAACTGCTGAGAAAACTGCTGAACGAAGGTGCTGAAGATGAAGAATTGGTTTTGGCAAATCATAGCAAAATAAATTTAAAGGACTGCTGTTACATGGTAGCGGAAGCTTGGAGTTTGGTTACGGCAGTGACGCTAAGACGTGCGTGGAATAAACTGAAAGGCCTACCGTCTGAGAAGAACAAAAAAAAAGAATCTGAAGAAAATGAGAAACAAGAATATGGAGAGGATGATGATGATAAAGATGCGTTGTCACTAGAGGAAATAAGAAAAATGATTGTAAAAATTCCTGGTTGTACAGAAGTAAGTGCTGAAGATGTAGGAGAGTGGATGGCTTGTAACACGTCTGACCCTGGTTTTCAAATTCTCATTGACGATGAAATTGTTATAAGTGTGAGAGAAGATGTTGAAGTGGAAGTGGAAGAAGAACTTTCTGCTGATGTTGAAGTAGACGCTGGACCATCAGCTAGTGAAGCATTTGCCGGCCTCGAGACTGCTTTGAAGTGGATGGAGCGTCAGCCCGAGTGTGACCACTTGCAACTGCTCACCGTCAAGCGAATGCGTGACCTGGCTGCCCGAAAACGGTTGAACACCGCAAAACAGCTTACATTGACGGAGATGTTTAAAAAACAATGATTTTTATTTCTAAACTTGTACATAAGTACATTTTATTTATATTTAAAACATGTGAAAATTTCATGTTTCTTTCATTTAATTCAATAAAAAAAATAGTGCAATATCAAAACGTAGCTTTTATTCTCTCCAATGGCAATTTTTTTTTTAAAAATCCGATTATCCGAATGGGTCCCGGTCCCCATTAATTCGGATAATTGGAGTTCTACTGTAGATAGAGTTTTAGCTAAAGCAAGATTAAGGGTTTTGAAGTCTCCTGATTTGACTGATTCGGATTCTTCATAAACGTAAATTTGATAATTTTGAAATGTTCCAATTATGATTCTAATGAAACGGTGTCCATGCAAATTACCTTATCAATGTTCTAAGAGGTCGTCCATTAACCTCGCGAGGCTCTAAAGGGGGGAGGAAGTTCGTCAAAAATCACTAAATATCACAAGGAGTAATATATATCACGTGTATTTATTTTTACGTCAACGCGCGATTACTAAGTCAGAAAGTGACGTCAAAATTTAAGATTTATCGTATGTACAAAAAAATATACGTTACGTGGGTGGAGGAGGGGGAGGTGGTCTTAAATCTCACCATGTTTCACGAAGGGGGAGAGGAGTTATAATGTCGAAAAAACATCACGTGATTAATAGACGGCCCTTAAAAATTTAAAAAGCGAATCAAAGTCGTATTTACGGTATGCAAAATTTTTGGTATCGTTCATTGAATTCTTTGACCATTACATTTCCACAACGCCTTATTGTATTTAATTATAATAATTCAAGTTACATTAGAAACTGAGGATCATTACAACTATACGATATATAAAAAGTCGTTACTATAAAACCTGTTATTAAAACTTCCATAAGATAAAACCCAATGATATATTTTAGCTTCCAAAACCAAATAATTTTATAGGTAAACAAAAAGCAAAACTACAAGTAACTACATATAATTAAATACTGAGTCTTGTTTTATATGTTTTCATGATAATTCTTTTATTTTATTTATCACTTCGTACATTATGAAGATTTTTTTCAGTTACTAGTTAAATCGGCTCAAATACTATACAAAAGGCTTCATATACCGGAAATGTCATACCCAGATGTTGCAGAAGCATCTCTAGCTGTCGGACCCTTCCCTAAACTGAGGAAGTTCTCCAAGTGGTTCAGGTAATGACAACTCCTAAGTAAATACATTTTATATATAGATTTTAGTGTACCTTCATAGGAGACGTCCTGTGTCTATTCGTTCGTCTTTTAGAACTAATGAGCTTTGGAACTACTAAATAAATGAATTGATGAATGAATAATTGAATGAATGGATGAATTAATAGATGAATGAGTGGATGAATGAAAGAATGAATAAAATGAATGAATACTTTATTGAACACACCATGAAAAGTTACAACAGCAAAATATAATACAAGAATTTTTGATGCCGCTAACAAATACTTAAAAACAGAATAGAATAAATGTTTAAGGGGGTTCTGGTATAATAAATGTGTTTTTCTTGCATTTTTATAGATGATAGTACGGAACCCTTCGTGCGTGATGCATTAGACTGGATAGTCCATTTATTGCCCCTGAAGTAATTACTCCTTCGATTTTTGAGAAAAAAAAGCAGATAATAGATTTTTTGAAAACCAGTTAGAAGTATATTTTTTTTAACATAAATTAATAAGAAACTCATAGTAGTTTTATATACCGTATATGATAATAAATAATAGCATAAATATATCTTCAGGTATGCAGTAGACATTACGATCTGCATAGATCTGTTTGGCGCATGCTGCGTCTACCAAATCATAATTGCGAAGACCATCATGAAACTGGTGGATGGCTCCAGTGAATTCGAACCCACAGATTTGAATCAGTTAAGGCTCTACGTACTAGCTCTCCTGGTGCCAATACTGCTACTGTGCATGATAACTACACTCAAGTATTTAGCACCATTCACTTTGGTTGCTGATGGATTTATTGGTTTGTGATTTACTTAATTTCTTGAAACAAGCTAAAGATAACATATAACCATACTTTATAAAAGAGGTCCTAGAGAAATTCCTAGTGGCACTCGTTTGAACGAAATTAGTTATAATCAATAAACAGTAATGGCAGAATAACAAACACATAAAAGAAATGTTATACAACACCACATATATTGCTCTGATTCCATAAAGAGTAAGTAGCAAAAGCTCTCGTTTTATACTGTTTGAAACAACGAAGGTACTACAACGCCCAAACTAGAAACAATATAGATTATATTCACTTACTATATCGAGTGGGAGTCAAATGCGGGGACTCAGATATGACAACAACTAAAAACTGGCGCGTTAGACCTACTTGACTTTGAACGTTATCTCAAATATATATTATGAACTATAAATATTTAAATTGTATTATTTGACAAGAAGAATGCATACATGAAAATCCATACTAGTAGGATTATAGCGAAAGTGAATTCGTCATCTTTACTGAACCAATATTAATAAAATTTGATATTCAGAACAGCGAATATTATGCTCATATTTAAAATCCTATACACGTATTCTGACGTCAAAACCTTAAAACGGCTATAAAGATACCATAAAAGCCAGAGTACATATATAAAAAAAATCAATGAAAGTCAAGAGAACCAAAGACTTGCGTAAGGACCCCGTCTTTTGGTAGTCGATTTCCTCTACCTACCCCGCAAAGGATTTGGCGTAAAAATTAAGATATGGAAAAATTCTATTAGCCTCTAGAATTTTAAATCGTGAATATAGCATCTTTTAAGCATACTTTTAAAAGCAATATCTACTCTTTATTATTAATTATTATCTATTTACAGTGGCATGCGTAGTAGCAACTATAATATATTCGCTGAGGGTAGCGCCCCCTATCAGCCAAGTCCCGGGATGGAAAGACACGGTGGGATTCTTCGAGTTTTGCGGAATAGCCGTCTTCAGCATGGAAGGAATAGGAGTATCTTTGCCGATAGAGAACAATATGAAGAACCCAAAACAGTTTCCTTTGGTACTCAGCTGTGGTTAGTTCCAACCAATATTCGTATTTTTAAACCTTATTCAAGCTTTTAACTAATATTTGAAAGTACAATACAATTCCCAGAGAAACAATTAATATATAAATCATTTTATATACGATATTAATTAGTAGCTCGGTGGCGCTACGGATAACCGCCGCTGTGCACGATCGCTATTGCTAAGCAATTTTCGCAAGAGTTGTTCACGGGATGGGTGACCAAAATTTATTAAACAAAGGCCTGGGGCCCTGCAGTTTGACTGTGAAATAGTTAATGATGATGATCAATATATCAAAGAAGAAAATTTAATATAACAGTTAATATTTCATAGCAATTTTGGCGAACACGTCACTTCAAATTGACATAACTTTTATATTTGTGAACCGACTGAAATAAATACTACACTAAATGTTAACGGAAGAATACCACAATATAATAGTGAAAACTACATTTCAATCGGTTTAGCCGTTTTTGAGATTATCGTGCACAAACGCACAGACAAACAGACAAACCAACAAACAGACAAAAAATTTAAAATGGTTGTTTTGTGTTCTGTTACGTTTATAAATAACAGTCTTTTCATAACAGTCATTTTCATATATCTTCAATGTACAGACATCGATCGGTTACGTTTTTATTATAGTATAGATAGATAAGTTCGATCGTGTTTTGTTTCTCTGGATTGCGACTGCTCGTAGTTTAGTGTTGATCCTGCTTATAACATTCAGCCTTGCACAAACGACATACTTCCGTGATATGCCCGACAAATCTTCTGATAGATTTATATCTAATCGTTTCATGAACTCTTTTATAATTTACTTTATAACCAGTTCTTTTTGAGTAGCCTCCTGTAAAAATAGAATGAATCGTATCTCAATCAAATTTGTTTTATTTTCCAGCAATGGTCGTTGTGGTATCCTTCTTGATAATGGTGGGATTCTTCGGCTATTGGGGTTTCGGAGAAAACTCCATATCACCAGTGACACTCAATTTTCCGTCAGAAACGTAAGTACTAACTACTCACTTGAACCATTTCAATATACGAATCTGATTTTAAATAAACTTAAATCTGTTGATGTTTAAAATGAATTACGAAAATTTCGCCCATGTAGTAACTGATGCTCTGTTTACATTCTGCGATACCTTCCGTGAAAAAAATATTATAGGTCTACTCTTTGCAGACTCCGTGATCATTGTACTGAGGTATGCCATTTAACAGCAGTTATCAGACAAATTCGTACTATATTTACTGCAGCGACATCCATTAAGATTTAAAGATGACTTTTAGTTCTAATATTCTAAATTAGAAAATTTGTATCAGTAATGTCGCTTTAAACTAAGTTTCTATATCAAGTAAATTATATCAAAATAGCTGTCATAAAAATCATTTAAAAATTTTCTCGATACGAAATTACAATGTTAACCCTAAAATTCTCCATTGAATTTTACTCTTTGATAAATATGAGAGTCACTTTATAGCGAGAGGTACATACAACACTTTTACAATATTAGCTTGCGAGTAATTAATTAAAAAAGATTTTACGTGCAATTTGGCATCCTCTCTGCTCTACCTCATTTCCAGGCGCCTCATCGAGATAGTCTTTTGTGTTTACGCCAAAGCTTAGGCTTAAGTAATTCTATGTATATTATTCCATACTTCCAGATTTCCAACAGTCCTAAAAGTATTGATGGCTGCTATGATCTTCGTCACATTTGCTCTAAATTATTGGGCGCCTTTCAATCTAGTTTGGCACTACGTCTCAAAAAAACACGACCCTAAGAAGAACTGGCTATGGGAAAGAGTGTACAGGGCTACGTTCATCGTTATAATTACAGCTATTGCAATTGCCTTCCCAAATATAGGCAATTTGATGGGTTTGGTAAGTTTAGACAACATACTAATTTTCCCGCGACATAGCCCACGTAAACTATATGTGTCAACCGCGTATTATGTAGCTTATTTGAGAGCAAATCTACAAACAAATCAATAATCTTTGCCTCTATATAATATTAGGTTTCCCGCAACTTTGCTCGCGTAAAATATATGACACGCGTTTATAATGTAATTTTAAAAGAATCACAACCCGCAAGTGTATTGGCGCGTAACTGATCAAATGTTACAGCTAACTGATAGATAGAAAAGCCCGTAGTGAAATCGACAATTAGTGCTGCCAGTAGCAGTCGATCTTTTTCCTTCTAACAGTAGGCAAAAGACTTTTCATGATCAGTATTTCCGAACATTACCCCTACAAAATTTATTTTTTCTTCTCGCCTCTTCTTTTGCTTTGGAGCAGATATCACAAGCGATTTTTTTCTATGAAATGAAAAAACTTTTCTATATATTAATTCGGGCTATGGACTACCGGCTATCGGCTTAATTCAGTACCACAAGAATTTGATTCGTCGAAAAATGACGTTGAAAAGAATTAATCTTGTGTTACAAATTAGAGATTGTAAATTCGTTTCAATCATAATGACATGTAGGTATAAGTTTTCATAAATTGCGCTAAGCTGTGTTTTTCAACTTAGCAATCTTACTTTAGCAATCGTAGAATTGGAAAATTCAGCTACCTCCCCACCCCTGGGGTACGACCGCCTAATTCTCTAGCCACGGCCTCTACCGATGTTATGGCGATATTTCCTTTAATTTTAATAATTCGCAATACACTTAATAATGACGAACGAATTAATAAAATATAATGATGATTATGAATTTGATAGCAATGTTACCAACTTACTCACTTATCTACCAAAATAAACTAAGATATCGTAAACATATATAATGAACCAACCTATTTCGATATAATTAAGCCAGTTATAGAATGAAACATCACCATAACATCATTATCCATTGTCATACCCTATGGCTAGAGTTATGCCTGTAGATTTAGACAGTCATATCCCTGGTGGAAAAATAACTTATTTTTAATGAACCAATCTATTTCGATATAATTAATACAGATTTTAAAACATTTGTCATTGCAGCTTGGTGCATTCTGTCTGTCCAATATGGGTTTCATATTCCCGGCGATAATAGAACTTTTAGTGATTTGGGAATCACCTGGACTGGGACCCTTCAAGTGGCGACTCTGGAAAAATATACTTGTGCTCCTTGTAGGTGTTCTACTGTTTTGTGCTGGCACGTACTCGAATATTAAGGGGTTAATAAGTAATTTGTGATCAAATATACATAAATGAAATTATTCTTAGTGTTTAAGTTATTTTAAGAGTATCGATAATAGAGCTGTGATTAAATAAATATTGTCGTTTCTTTAACCTTATTTACCTTCAAGCAAATGAGAACCGAAATACATCTAGTAATCAATTAACTTATACTAATAATAAAGCTGAAGAGTTTGTTTGTTTGGTTGAACTCCATAATCTCAGAAACAAATGGAACGATTTTTTTTGTGTTTTAAGTGTTCTAAAAAAGTACGCGGTAACATATATCTATCTTATATCTTGGGAATGGGAATGGAAATTCGGATAGGGCATTAAGTCTTTACTATAGTCACCATTGTTTTTTCATTGTAATTATAATCCATGTCATCCTTTTCCAAATCCATTATTAAATGATTAAAGATGTTTACGCAGGATTAAATAATGTTCTGAATAATTCAAATCGGTATAATCCTTGTCGGTAATATTAAATGTATATGTTATGTTGATTAGTACAAACAGTGATTAGTATTAGTATACACTAGATGACGCTACTTTTAAAACGGGATTTTGATTGTTGTGAAACTTTTATCTGAAAGTCTAAAATAAGCACATTAATCTAATATCTAGTTCCATATGAGAAAACAATAAATAAATTCACAGAAACAATACAAAAAGTAATATCGAACAATAGTAAGCCAAAAACAAATAAAAACAAAACAGGGATCGTGTGGTGGACAGAGAGGTTGGAAGAACTAAAGAAAGAGAAAAACAGAAGGAGAAAAAGGATTAAGAACGCAGCGCAAACAAGAAAAAATTACACCATCGAGCAGTTCATGTTGGCTAAGGAAGAATACTTAAAAGAGATGGATAAAGCCAGAGTGGATTGTTGGAAGGACTTTTGTGGCAAACAAAGTAAAGAAACCATGTGGGTGGGAATTTACAGGGTAATAGCAAGAACGAAAAAGAATGGCGAGGACCAGATGATGATCATTGACGGGAAAACTAGCAGCCCGGAGGAATATGCACATATAGTGGCCGAGAGCTTCTACCCGGTGGACACGGAGGAGGGAGAGAACGAAACCCATAGGGAGGTTAGAAGTAGAGCGGCGGAAGTGAATGTGGGGAGTAACGATGATAGTTACGACCCCCCATTCACGAAAGCCGAGCTGCTTCACGCCTCCGGGTCGTTCAACCCGAAAAAGGCGCCGGGAGGAGACGGACTCACGGCCGATATATGTGCAGAGACCATTGAAGCGAATACAGAAACGGTCCTCGCTATATATAATAAAGGTTTAGAACTTGGGCATTTCCCAACCGCATGGAAAGAGGCCACAGTGATAACATTAAGAAAACCAGGAAAGTCCAATTATAATGTGCCGAAATCATATCGTCCAATAGGGTTGCTCTCTGTTCTAGGGAAAATAATAGAAAAGATGCTAGTTAGGCGCCTGAAATGGCACATTCTCCCAAAACTGAACCCCAGGCAGTATGGATTCGTGCCACAGAGGAGCACCGAAGACTCCCTCTATGATATGGTCCAGCGGATTAGGAGCAATCTGGAAGAGAAGAAGATTGTAGCCCTAATTTCGCTGGACATAGAGCCCCCTTTGACAATGCCTGGTGGCCACGAATCCACTGCCAGCTCCAAAAAATGAAATGTCCAATTAATCTAAGAAGGATGGTCGCAAGTTACCTCAGTAACAGGTCGGTCACGGTGAGATACGCGGGTAAAGAGATAAAAAGAAATACCAATAAAGGTTGTGTTCAAGGGTCCATAGGAGGACCCTTCTTTTGGAATCTAATTTTAGACCCACTCTTAAACAATCTCACCGAGGCCGGCATCTACTGTCAGGCATTCGCGGACGATGTAATAATTATAGTATCAGATAAAAGCTCCCAGGAGGTAGAAGTAAAATCAAATAGAGCACTAACCATGGTCAGAGAGTGGGGGAGATCGAATAAACTGAACTTCGCACCACAAAAGACCAAAGCGATGGTAATTACAAAAAGACTAAAATACGACACCCCTCGTCTGACCATGGGAGGTATAGATATAGCATTAGAGGAGAAAATAAAAATCCTGGGAGTTATAATAGATAGGAAACTCACATTTAATAAACACATCACATACGTCTGCCAAAAGGCCACAAATATTTACAAGGGGATAGCGACATCGGCCAGAGTAACCTGGGGACTAAACCCAGAAATAATCCGAACGATCTATATAGCTGTTATAGAGCCCATAATACTGTATGCGGCAAGCGTCTGGGGGAAAGAGGCGAGCAAAATTAAGAGCAAAAAAGTACTCAATGGGGTACAAAGGGGGTTCGCACAGAAAATTGCAAAAACTTACAGGACAGTATCGCTAAATTCCGCATTAGTATTGTCGGGGCTGCTTCCGCTGGACCTTAGGGTCCAAGAAGCATCCCGGCTTTATGAAGCAAAGCGCGGGAAACCCCAGGCAATACTAAGTGGCAGGAAAATAGAGCAGAGGGTATCCTTACAGGAATCGAACCACCCCGGTAGCCTAAGTATGATAGAGTTTGAGTGTTTGGAAAATGCAGAAGAGGATGGTAAACTAGCAGAAGACCTTGTGAAACTTGAGGGAAAAGTCGGTGCAGCCCTGACCTGTTGGAAAGGGGCTGTTGAGATCGCTTCCCGAAAGTTTAAGCTGGAGCCATACTGCACAGTCTTCCAGGCCGAGCTGTATGCCATCCTCCAAGCAACAGAGTGCATGATGAATAAAGAATGGAAGGATGCGGCGGTACTCAGCGATTCGAGATCCGCCTTACAGTCGCTACAGGATCCGGACTCTTCGCACCCAATCACGAAGGCGATTCAAGGCAACCTGGTACAACTTAGGGAACTAGGCCAAAGGGTCTCCCTATTTTGGATCAGGGCCCACGTCGGCGTGATTGGGAACGAGAGGGCGGACGAGCTGGCGAAGGGGGCGGCTCTCGGATTGAAGTGCAAACCGCACTATGATGGCTGCCCCAAGTGTCAAAAGGCATTTACGCAATTTGACAAAGGTAGAATGGGATAGCCGTTATAAGAGCGAAAACACCGCCGCCACTACGAAGGTCTTTTTCCCTAGCGGGGAAAGGGCCTTCGGAGTGGTAAGAAAGATGAAGATAGACAGGTGGGCTGCACAACTGCTAACGGGGCATGGAGGGTTTAAGTCCTACCTCCATGATTATAAACGTAAGGATACCTACCCCATTTTGTGAGTGCGACCCCCAAGCAAAACAAGACGTGTTCCACGTCCTACTAGAATGTCCAATATTCGGAAACGACAGGCACACTTTACAAAATCACTTAAACACAAAACTTAGCAAGGAAAATTTGGAAACAATAGTGGCAGAGAATAAAGAAAGGGAGAAATTTATGAGACATGCTTGTATTATAATTGAAAAGGTTGCAAAGAGAAATAAAGACTAAATAAATGACAAATGCAAACAACAAAGAAATGTAAAATTAGAATTAAGAAGTAGGCAATCAATATTGTATTGTATAAAATAAATAGAGAGTAATTATAAAGGAAAAACAAAATGTAAATAAGATATATAAGAATGTAAATTAGATATAAGAAGAATGTAAATAACAAATGAAAACATGTAAATAGCAAATAAGGAAAATGTACTAGAATATAAGAATAAGCAAAAAAGAGGGAAAAAGAGCATTCCCCAAAGACCAAACAGGCATAAACCTGGAAACATAAAAAAGAAAAAAAGAAAAGCATGAAAACATAAAAAAGCTAAAAAGACAGCCTGCTAAACAGTGGGGGAACCTGCAAAAAAAAAAAAACTAGTTCCAAGCAAAATAACGGCGTAATTATTAAACGACTTCGTAATATCACAAAAACACCGGTAGATTTTTCTTTGATTAGTTGCAATCCATCTATTGGGCAGGCCTGTAGTGAGGACCTTGATAAGCTAATAATGATTATATTTAAAGGTGGATACTTACTGACAGATTTTTAATTAAAATTAGCTTAAGACTCAAGTATACCAGGTTAGGGTGCACCAGTACCCTCGGATCACCTTTTCATTTTCCAATTTATAAATTACTAGGTTACAGCTAGAAATTTGGAAATTGAAGAATGATTTGACAATTATGTTTACTTCTTTATTATTAAAAATAATTTTAAAAAATGATTAATATGTTTTTCTTAAAAAATTTCCTAAGCTCTACTATTAAAGCTTTTCTAAATAATTACTAATGCTTATATCAGTTACGCGCTTGCAGTATTTAATCATCGCAAAATTTAAAATAAGTCTCTCTTAATATTTTTAATTTAATATTAGTTCTGTAAAAAATTATATGCAGTAATTCTGCAATAGTTACGTATTTGTCCCATTTATTTTTCAGTTTTTACCAATTATAATGAACCGTTTTCAAGAAAACTTGAAGACGGTTCTAATTTTGCCAAAAAATATTGGATACCCTAATAACAATCGAATTGTGATACAATGTGCTGACGTATCCATCATTATTTTGTCGTAGTCACGTGCCAATGAATGTCATCATTATGTAGTGAGCATTCAATTAAATACCGTAAAGATTAATCAGATTACATTTACATTGGAAATTGAAATGCTCTGCATGCGTATTGTTTACGGATGCCAAGTCGACTCAATTTAGTTAATTGATTTCTTAGCTTCTACACGCTCGTCGAAGTGTTAGTTTCAACTTAGTAGAAATATATACGAACACCGATTAAACCACCCACGACAAAAATGATGAATATCTTAATAATCGCCATCGTTTTTTTTATTTCTCAAAATGTATTATCCTTTGAACAAGTAAGTAGTTAGTTCTTAATGCTTAGTTTTTCTATATTTAGGGTTATTATTACTTAATTATATTACAATGAACTTAATTTCAGATACAGCAAACGAATACAGAAAACAGAAGAAGTCTAAATGATGAGACAGTTATAGATAAAAATGATTCCGATGACATTACGTATGTTGAACCTAATTCTGTAATTAAAGATGCTATAGCTGAGAGTGAACTCGTTAGAAGTGCACAAGAACAAGGAGAAGAATTTCTCATTGCTGAACTTACAAAATCAGGTATTGATTCCTCTGAACA